AGGATTGTTTCCATAGAGCATAGAATAATTGGCTTGGAGGTCTTCTGTTTCAACCCCCTGCTGATTATCTTTTATTGAGGTCTTAGTCAACTGCACTGAATGATGGGATATTCCACATGCTACCCTTTCCATACCACTCCATGCCTTACAGCTGTTCACTCTTGTTTCAGTAGTAAATGTGAATAAGCTTTTTCCCGTCTTCTTAGGCAACTGTAAAAGAAAAACTCTGGAGAAGAGTAGATATGGGTTGGGTTTAAGAAAATTTACACTTATTCATAAAAGTCTTCAGTTCAAATTTGCCATTTATATCAGGTGCAGGCAGTCAGAGCCAGTCATGAACAGCTAATATAAGCAACTTTATTGCTTTCTACTTTTGTTACAAGAATCTTTCCCAGGCTACTGGGAATAACCAGATCCCTTCATAGAACTTGGGTGGGGGGATAGGGGTCAAGCTTATTATACTTATTTATTTATTTATCAAACATGTACAAGATAGCCGGTATTGGTATAAACATAAACATAAATAAATTGTTACTGTGTAACAATACCAAGCTAGTTCCTAGCTTGACCCTCTCATTCCAGCGTTAACTGGCAGTTTCCCAGATTTTAATCTGGCTAAAAAGATGGGATGCTCTGCATTTAAATTGTACTGCAAATGCTGAATTGGAAGTTTAGGCCTTGACTTTCAGCAAAAAGGAAAGTCCAAGACAAAGAGAAGTATGCAAGGAACAGTATGGTTGGGTCCATTTTTGTGCAGATAGAAACCTCATGTCCACTGTTAAATTTAGTCTCAGCAGAGGAAGGAATAATGTTCATCTCAGGAGAACTTGTGTTGATGGTAGATTAGAGAAACTGTCCTTTTTCGGAGCAGTTAATGTTTGGCTAGTGTAATATCTGCTCAACAGATAAGCAGGCATTGTTACTAAAGGAAACATTACAGCATCCACAATTTATGGAAAAATTAAACTGGATGATTAGATTTGCAGTGGATGCATAAAAACAGAAACATCCTCTGTTTTAAGACGTCCCAGGTCAATCTTGATTTAGCAAGCTACTCGATTTTGAAGTAATCGTTCATAATTACACAGTTCACTCTCAAATCTTCTCCTTCCCCAGGTGCTGTCACTCGATCCACTCAGTTAATTTGCTACTGTGTTCTGACGGAAATGGATGCTGTCGAAGAAAAAGAAGAAAACAAATCTAATTAAAGACTGAAAAATGGAGATCAACCAGCTGCTCGGATGAAGGTCTGCATGTGCCAGCGCAGTCCAGATCTTCTCTCTGGATTTGGAGATTCTATCCGGTTGACATAATTTGGTTGCCTTTTTGCTTGTTAGTTTTGTAAAAATGAGAAAACTCACCACCAGGATTCTCAGGCGTAAAATTCACCACGGTTTTTAATCCGATGTTTTTCAACGGCCAAATCAAAGGTCTTTAATGAAAGTGCCCGAAGATGAGTATGTGGACATGAGACAATTAGTGTGTCAAAGGAAATATCTTGTGCAACTTACTAGAATTGGAAAACTTCATCAGGTCTACCAAGCAATCAGTTGTTTAATCCTACACTGATGATTGTGACCAGCTATCCCACCCAGGTGATTGAATATGCTAGGGAGATTGTTTGCTTTCTGATCTTTAAAAGTAGTTTATCTCCATCCTTCATCCACAACACATATCCTCAAGACGTTCAGAAGCTACTGGTCATCTCTTCTCAACTTCAATTGCTTTGTTCAAAGTAGAGGTTTAGATGGAAGTGTATTTTGAGTAGGTCAAATTGGAATCAACTCAACACAGTAGGGTACTAAGCCTAGGGCCTTGAAGTCAACATTTGAGCATAATAAGCACAATTCTTCACTTGGCTTTCTCTCAACGTTGGGCATTGGACACGGCAAATTCATGCTGCTTCAGCCCTCTGATTCTTTAAGGATTTTATACAGAACTGTTTTTGGTGTAATAGTTGGACTTGTCCTGAGGATCTTTCAAAACTTTTATTACTGAGTTCATAGGGTTAAAAATGCACCTTTTTAAGGCACTTTCTTTAATGCAAGTAGAAAAAAGTTTCTGTAAAGCGGTATAGGGAGAAACCGTGAAGCTATTTTCTGGGGCAAATAGTTTCTCAGTTGATTATGCTAGTTGTTAGTATAAACAAGGGAAAGCTTAAGAACAGGGATTCAGGCCCAATGTAATCTGACAGTCCACTTGGCTTTATCAATGTCTTGATTGTCCATTTATATCTTCTCACTGTGGGACCACATTTCCACCATTATCAGCTGCAAATCAATATTTTTTTTATTAGAAAAGGTTGCTTGGGCCTTATTAAGGAAAAGCACTCTCAATTCTAAATGCACATCTTGTCTACCCCCCAAGTAGACTATCTTTTCAAAAGTCTGTCATGTTATGGCTTTTTGTGGCTCTTGGTTGTTTCTAGAGGCACAGATCTTTCAAAGAGGCAAAATGTTAGAAACGTCCCTCCATTTCTTTGCTTCTTCTTTGTATACAATTTATTAAACTGATGGGTGCTAAAGAATAAAAATGTAAGTACTCTCACAATGGATTACATCTGAGAAGAGATTCCTTTATCAGTTGTGAGCTTTGCTCACTTTTAATCACCTAGTCTATGTGTATGTGTAAATTTCCAGAGCATAATTGTCAAAATCATTGGTACTGTGTTCTTAAGCCCATCATGTTATAAATGGAAAGTAGTTAGTTAAAAAAAATACAGAGCTATACATGTAATTATTCAGGTTTTTTTTAATTCAAACAAAAAACGGGATTTGCTTTCAGATTTGAATCCAGTTATAATCAAGTCTGACTATCTGTCTAGAAAGAGGTGTGCTATTTATTGTATTGGTGAATAACCCAGAAAGCAACAGTTTGAAGCTTTGTTTCTCAGTCTTTATGAAAACCAAACGATTTGAATCAACCATATTAGATCAAAACTGTCTTAAAAATGTACTACATCTTTTTATCGGTGCTTTTTAATTAGGTTTCAGTCTCATAGTGCAATAGAAATGTGGCCAATAAATGTTTTATTTAGTTTAACAGGATGGCGTTAAAATTTTAAACTATACCCTGGATTGTTTTTGTACTCCATTCTGCTGTTAAAATGCGTTTTGTTTTATAGGAGGACTGAACTGTTTATCTCCTGATCCGATCAGTTAGTTGCCACAACAGCAAATTTTGTAGTTCCTGTATGTACAAGAACTGTAAAGGGGGGAAATTAAAATTCCACCATGTGGAAATTAAAAAAAAATGAGAACATGAGTCAGTTTGTGAAGGAAAACTTGTTTTATGAATGCTAACTATTTTCTGTATGAGACTCTGACCTTATTTGGCAGCTAAGCCAGACACTCCATTTAAGCAGTCTTGCAAGAAAATTGCACAGATGTAACCAGGTCACCCAAGGTAAACTCGAAAGAGAGTAGAGTATCTCTACCGCTTTGCCTGCAGCCAAGAATTGCAAAGAATGCAAATAGCATTCTATTGCAGATATTGTAAAGTTTGGACCCAGAATGCTAAACCATCATTTTCAGTTTCCAGGGGCTGGCACAGGTCAGCTTCTCTAGTTTGCTTCGGTCAAAATGCCAGTTAAACTGTTGAAGCAAAGATGGTAAATTATAGCTAATCCTTGGGTTACAAGGTGATGCGATTGCTTAGCAAACCGACAACAATCTCAGCAGACCCAGTTCTGATTCTTTAAGACGTGGGTTAAGTGAGAAATGGCAAGAGTTAAGGAGCATAGGAATGCCTATGGGGGAATGGGGTAGGCCCTAAGTCCAGATCATTAGAATTAGGTAAACAACAATCCAATGAAGGAACTACCGAGATCACACCCACCCACACCGACAGGGCAATGAGAGCAAACCCCACTTCCTACTAGCATTGATGATGTTACCTAGTTGGGTAATGAAAGGTCTGCAAGAAAATAACCAAGTTCAGGGAATAACCAAAGATCCCACAACTAGGTTCTGCAAATCAAAGAGATGGACATAATCACTATACTAGGCTTGATAGTTTATATTTAAAAAAATCCTTATGTAATTGAAGATACTTATTTTGTTGGCACTGTCATTTTCTGTATAAAGAAGCAAAAGCTACGGTTTTCCATTTCTCCACATCTAGTACAAAGGGATGGACTAGAGATGTTTATCTATAAACTACAAGCACTTCACTCGGAACTAATCAGCTAATTTGATAAACTCAAAGAACATAGAATAATAGGGTTGGAGGGGACCTTGGAGGTCTTCTAGTCCAACCCCCTTCCTCAAGCAGGAAACACTATACCATTCCAGACAAATGCTTGTCTAGTTTCTTCTTGAAAACCTCCGATGATGGAGCACTGCAATGAACACCTAAGGAATACAAGAAAGCATCAGCTAAATAATAATGGCTAGTAAAAAAAAATATTTTCCTTCACAGAACTTCCACAGGGAAAACAAGGTCAGGCAAACTTCAAATTCTGTATATTTTAACTACTATATTTGTAAACTATGCAAAGAAAAACAAGTGAGAATTATCATATATCACTAACTCCTAAAGGGATATGTCAAGGCAGATATCTTAATGAAGAAATGCTACAAAAAAAGGGATGTTTTTAATATGTAAAGTTTATCAACTATATATATATGGGGCAACTAGGAATATTAAAGTGCAGAAATTTCCAATCTGAATGATCATTTTCAAGTACAGACCTATCTACAGACAGTGATCCCACAATGCTTGCAAAAGAACAAACTATTTGCTTCAATAGGTTAACAACAAAAGGAGTTGTAAGGCATCCCAAAATGGCCAAATCTATCTTGTCAATTTCAGGCTTTCCTTGCACAACGCCATGGATGAGATCCAAAAATTGCAAACGTCACTTGGATCAAGGCAATCTGTTTTCTCTTGATTTGAAGATGCTCTGGTCAAAAAACAGCATGACACATGAGGGTTGTGGTGCCACGATTTGCTAAGGGCACATCACACACCGGGGGTGGGGTGGGGGGGGCAGGGGGAGGAGCAATCTCAGGAATACAAAAGATTCTGCAAGCTACTCGGAATCCAGTTCCTTGACTCCATCATATTCAAACTCCTGCAGGACTTCAGATTCATACTTCTCCCATGATCGCCTGATATATCCACAATCTTCATCACTGGTGTCCCCACTGTTTTTTTCTGATTCTGGAAGAAAAACGAAAACCAAATTGATGGCAAGCAGGAGTGATTTTGGAAGTCTTTTTTTTTTTCCTGGTTATTGACATTTTTTAACACATTAATCTCAAATTCTTCCTTCTACTTGTCCAAAACAACTTAAAGTTTATTACTGTTTCATTAATTTTAATAATCTCTTTTACCTTCCCATATAATGAGAGACTGGTGGCAGAAACTAAAACTGGGAAAGGACAAATAAAGTGCAAATACCTTGTGCCCTTAACAGATTTCATTGGATTGATTCAAGTTTTTCCTACTTTGAGTGGTGTGGTGGCCTAGAAGTGGAGCTCTCGCCTCACAGTCGGGAGGATCCTAGGTAGAGGCAGGTATTTCTCTCTCTCTGGGCACACTGAGAATCTTATCTGCTGAAAGAAACTCTGCACTGGTGACAGGAAGGGCATCTGGCCAGTAAACACTCAGATCCATTCGGTTGCCCAGACTCCATCCTCCCAAGGAATTATGGGAACCTTAAAAGAGGATGATGATAATTCAAGTTTTTCCTACTGACTGTTCCCTAGGTAAACACCACTGAGGTAAAACTGGGCCATACATTATCACTTCCGGTGTATTACAAAGGAGCTTCCCGCATTCAAATTTCCTTGCTGGAAGCTGGAGATCACGTGACCGGGATGCTGCAACCTTTGTTGGTTGGCAAGCACACGAATTTTGATAACATGACTGGAGAAGATGCAGTAGTTTTAAGAGTGAGGAGGACTGGTTTTAAGTAATTTTTTTCAGTGCAGTTGTAACTTTGAATTGTCACTAAACAGAACCATTTGTTAGTCAAGGACTACCTGTGTACAAATATGATTATCAACAAATACCACCTTCATCTTCATCTAGAAATTCATCTTCATCTGGATAGTCATTACGCCAGTTGTTCTCATTATTCTCATCATCTTCGTCTTCATAGGTTTCTTCAGGGAGGTGCTCCTCATCCATCTGCATGTCAACACATAATATCACTGTCAGGGAGGAAAAATGTGCCACAAGCACGTAACATGGGTCAGTCTGACCGAATGAATCTTGAAGGTAGAGGTGTAAAAGTGAGAAAAACATGCAATTGAAGCTTTTAAGGCAATGAGATACAGTTACCGCTTGTATTTTATTAGTTGAATCACTTCTAATTTACAAATTACAGTACGTTTTACAAAGAGGAAAGAAACAAGCCTTGCTAAATTTTATATTTCCTTAGAAGATGCTATTTTTGATTTACTTACCAAGTCAAAGTCTTGGGTGTAAGGTTGTACAGAGAGAATGTTCTCGATCCACCCAGGAGTAGCTGTTTCCGTACAGTAAATATCATAGACGTATTCATCTTTATTTAAGCAATCCTCTGCTTCTTTACCATTGTCAGTTATGGTTAAACGTTCACGAATCATCTCTACAGAATTGCAGAGAATCACATCTGGATCTGATTTCTGTTAAGATTTACATTTTTTTTTAGCCAATAGACAACTTAAAAAACAGAAAGTGAGAGCTTACTTATTAGAATGTTATACTGCCTTTATTTTTGGTCAATTCACAATGGCATGCATACATACCTTAACCAATATCTCATCCTGTTAACTCCCTCTCCCTTTCCTCTTCCATCCATCCATCTATTCATCCATTTATACACACACATACAGAGTATATGGAATCAGATATACAACATCAACCCTGTTAAGGTTTCTAAACTTAAATCCTTTCCTCCAAATTAGCCTTTTCATACTTAATTGAAGAAAAAAGTTGGACTTTAAGTGTTTAATGTTTAAAGTACACTATTTCTTGACTTAAGACTAAGTTGGAAAAAGGCAACTTATTAAAAATAAACTATTTGTTTCTTTCCCTATCTCTGAGCAAATATTTAATGGAACACTGTTTAATTGGGCAACACAGTATCTTTCTTCCATAGTTAAATGTTCTTGTGAATTCTCAAGAATTAACTCACTATGTTGTGTTAAGTGAAGCCAATTTTGATAAAAGGATCCAAGAGAACACAATATTTCATTTTTAATGTTAGATTCAGTGCCAATGTAGGTACGGTTTGTAATTCACAAAGAATTGGGGGGGGGACAGAGGACTTGTGGTACCAAAAGCTGCAATCCTTGTATTACTTGATCTTTTGATCTCATATTTATTATATTTTTGTCATCTCCAAATATGAACTTGCCAAGAAGGAACATTTTTATAAAATGTCTTCACTCTATTTGACTGCTATTATTTAGTTACAGATAAGGCTAGAAATACATAATTTTAAGGAACAACAATCAACTGTCCACTAACTACAGTATTTGATCTTTTAATAACACCAGAAGCTCGGTAAAATGTACTTTTAAAAAACAGAACTCAAAAATATTATTTTGAGTAACTGATCAATGAAAAGTTGCCATATCTTGTCCAAATTACCAGGCACCAGGCATTTTAAGGTCCCAATAAGTTTAAATACCAGGGTTCGTAGACGACATCTAATGTCACAATTGTAACAGCCTCTTTCTCCTTGTGGTCATTGTACCAACATAAATGAATCTACAGGCACTGTAGAATTTTAGCTGGGTTTTCCTTGTGTTGATGTTCCCTAGATAACGTGGAACTGTCTCTTGCTTGCTTTCCAAGTTGCTGAAGAGGCTATTGTGGCTGGAAGAGTGCCACACATCATAAAGGTGGCATAATGTCAAAAGGTATTTTAGCCCAGGGCTATCTGAAGTCAAAGGGCAGTAGACCGTTGCAACACAATGCCTGGTTCACACACTGCACTTTGCTCTGGGTTACTCTTGCTGTTTTTAGAACTTGCTTCTAAACCATAAAGTTTGACCTTGTTATGACTGGAAATGTGGACAACGTATGGCAACTTCTGTCGCTGATCAGTTACTGGAAATATTACCTCTGAGTTTTGTAATAGCTAGATTCGCAATGAAACCCAAACCAAACAAACCATATTATGCATTGATATTTATATAGTATCCACTCCCTTAACAGCTCAGGACAGCTATTTAAATGCAGTTCAAATAGAATTAAATGCAGTTCAAATAGAATACAATTAAAGCAACTCTTAAAATATTATTAATACATTAAATATTTTTAATTAATGGAATAAAAAGAAACCCCATAAGCAAACAGGAAGTAAAACAAAGTAATATAATGCATACATGCATGCATATATAAAACCATGGAATCCCTAACACAATTTTGTTATTTATAATTAATCTTATTGCTATCACAAAGATTTTACACAGAAGTTAGGGTTGAAGTAAAAAAAATAAATAAAGATGAGATCTGATTTAGTGATAGAAATAAAAGACAAAATAAAACAAAAAGTTTTAAAAAACCAAATATCGGTTTTTTCTTCCTTTTCTTCCCAACTGCTATTGAAATATTTTATATTACACTTTAAATTTCTGCAATTATTCTTCATTTCTGTTTAAATCATTTTTAATGTTTTGAAAAAAATATCATCTTCAAAATACAATTAAAATGTTGATGCGATGAAAACCATTAAAAGGAGTGTTGGAAGAATGTTTTGAGCCCTATCCTCCACCGTAATGAGGAAATTGGGTTCAACAGCAAATATTCCAGAATATGAGTCCTGCTATAAAAACAGGTGTAACCACATACGGTCCAATGCTTTTACAGTAGGACTCACAAACTCCTTAAACAATCTAAGATTATGAGACAGACTGTACAGGAGGTAAGAGGCCCTAGTGAAAAACATTATTAAAAACCTAAGATAGATTATGAGCCAGCTTGTCGTTGGGATCGTTGTTACTGTGTTTGCATCAGTGGCTCTTATAGCAATAGCAATTTAGATATATATATACCGCTTCACAGTGCTTTTACAGATCCCTTGAAGCGGTTTAGAGTCAGCATATTTTTCCCCCAACAATCTGGCTCCTCATTTTACTCACCTCGGAAGGATGGAAGGCTGAGCCAACCTTGAACCTGGTGAGATTTGAATTGCCAAATTCAAGGCAGCCAGCAGTCGGCAGAAGTAGCCTGTTATACTACATTCTAACCACTGCGCTACCATGACTCTTATCCCATTTTAATACAGGGTTCAGATGGTCCGTGACTTAGTACTAACCTGTAAATGGGAGGAAGGTGTATCGTTTTCCACACCCTCCTCCTGTATAATATCAAAGAACTGAAAGTCTCTACAGCAGCCTGAGGTGCTGCCATTTTTGTCTTTCTCAGACATAGAAGACTGTTTCTTTTCATCAGATTCTTTCTCATTTGCTCTGAGAGCAGCATTTTCTCCATCACTGAGATTTGGACGGAGGCTAGTGACCAGGCGGTAACGGCTTTCCTGCCTTTTGGCTTGCTTTGAAGAACGAAGATCCTGAATTATTCTTTGAGCGCTCCCTAGAGCAGGTCGCAGGATCCGGCCTCCTTTCTGTTGGGTAAAAGCTTCTTGTATGTATTTGTCAACAGGTTCAGCCTAAAAGACATTTTAAAGAAGTTCAGTTAGCACCCGGGATTAGAGCAGTGTTCCTCAATCTTGACAACTTTTAGGTGCATGGACTTCAACTCCCAGAATTCCCTACTCGGCACAATGTCTATGGAGATTCTCAGTCCTCCAGGTCATGGCTGTCCCAAAGGTGCTTTTTCAAAAGGTAACTGGGCTTTCTATTTTTTTTTTCTTTGAAGACGTTTTGCTTCTCATCCAAGAAGCTTCTTCAGAGCTGAAGAAGCTTCTTGGATGAGAAGCGAAGTCTTCAAAGAAAAACCAGAAAGTCCATCTGCCTCTTGAAGGAGCACCTTTGGGACACTCAGCATAATATCTCCTCTCTCATCCCTTGGGGTTTTTCAATAGAAAAAGACATCTACTTAAGATAAAAAATATATTAAATATTGACACATAATTCTGGGATGTGCAAAATAAGTATATTTGGAATAGGGCAGGTGTCCTGGGGCAAGATCCCTGCTGGTTGTTGAGAACATTTTGAGTCTGAATGTTCTAATCTACAATATACTTGCTACACCCAACCCACTTTCTGTTTCTGCCCTAAAACAAAGCAGGATGTTTAAATGCAGTCCAAGATGCTCTAATAACCTCCCCCCCACCAGGGGCAGGATGCAGGCCAATTCAGTCCAGCCTTGTGCAAAACCAATATAGAATAATAGGGTTAGAAGGGACCTTGGAGGTCTTCTAGTCCAACCCTCTGCACAAGCAGGAAAGTGTAACATTTCAGACAAATGGTTGTCTAATCTCTCTCTATAAACATCCAGCGATGGAGCACCCACAACTTCTACAGACAAGATGTTCTACTGATTAATTGTCCTCACTTGTCAGGAAGTTTCTCCTTAGTTCTAGGCTGGATCTCTCTTTGATCATCTTCTACCTGTTACTTCTTAACCTGCCCTCGGATGAAGAAATATATTCAGTGATATTTCACCATGACCTTTAACGATGACTGGGCTTTTTTTTTTTAATAAATATTTTACTGAACAAAACAATTAAAAACTCTGAACATAGCGAAGTTGGTTTGACATAACTTTGGGTCAGTATCGCATGGATATATATATTCCTAAATACAATTATTCAAATATATACATATATACATTTGTTCGCTCATACATTATAATTTCTAACATCATTGATCCTATTTTCATCTCATACATTCCTTTGCCCTCTCAGCAACTCTCCTTTCCCAACTTAAGACTTTCCTTTCTGCTCCCACCAATGATAGAATCTATCCCAAATTGCATAATATGCCGACTCGTCTTTATTTTTCATCTCTAAAGTTAGCTTGTCCATTTCAGCGCATAAGGATGACCGAGCTTTTGATATCCCGTCCTTCATTGGAAAAGTTGAGATACCCAATGTTGAACTGTATATTGCAGTCAAACAACAGCACAGGAAATCTTTTATGGCATTCTGTATTATGTCACATCCTGCTTTATGGTAATGTTTATGTCATGCACTGTTTTATACTAGGTAGAGGCAGATATTTCTCTCTCTGGGCACATTGAGAATATATCTGCTGGGGGGAAAACTCCGCACTGGTGACAGGTAGGGCATCTGGCCAGTAAACACTTTGCTCCATTCAATTGCCCAGACTCCACCCTACAAGGGATTATGGGGTCATTAAAAGAAGATGATACATTGTTTTACACAATTTGCAATATGTCAATTCCACCATAGTCATAGGTCCCAGATTTTGGACACCTTCTGTAAGTTAACCCATTTTGAGATCCCTTGGTTCAAAAATTGTTACCCTATGATGCTCCATTTTGCCCAGGGAAAGATTACAAGAATAAAAATCACTCATAAGTCCTCCTCTGGACTTATGACCACAACTGGGCCCAAAATTTAAGAGAAATTTGTGAAGCGAGCTTTGCCTCATTTAACAAACTTTCCTACCAGGTTTGTTCAGGGAACCAATGCAAGTTGTTGAATCAGTACCAGCCTCGTTAACCGGATCTGGCTTTCCCCCTTGACTTTGCTTGTCAGGAGGACGCAAAAGGGGAAATCACACGACCCCCGGGCGCTGAGACCGTCATAAATACGAGAATTTTGACCACATGACCATGGGAAACTGCAAAGGCCGCAGGTGGTTAGTCCCTTTTTTCAGGGCTTCGAATGGTCACTAAACGAACTGCTGTAAATCGAGGACTGCCTATATTTAGATCAGGGTTACTTCGCCCTTGGAAGACTTGGGGACCTCAACTCCCAGAATCCCCCAGCCAGCCGCGCTGAAACATATCCCAGTATTAACTTAAAAGATCATTAGAAACAGACATTTAATCTCCTCGCTAACTGTCCCAGCCAAAACCCGCGAAGCCTCACCTCCGAGTTTACGGTGGCTACCAACTTGAAGAGAGTCTTCTCCACCTCGCCCTCTCCGGGCGAAGAGGAGGAGGAGGTGGCGGCCTCGGCAGCAGCCCCAGCCTCCCCGCGGAAACGCTTGCAGGCAAGGACCAGCGCCTCGGCCGGCAAAGACCCACCGCGCTTTCTCTTTACGCGCAGCACGGCGGCTGTCTCCATGGCAACCGGACCAGGCCGCTCTACCGCGCAAGGGACTATGGGAACTTCTCTCGCCTTGTCCTGCCGTCCTCGGCGTAATTTGTAGTTGATGTCGGCTCCGCGTCCCCGTTTGATGACGCCATCTTCATTTCCTCGAGGGGCTGAGGTCTGAACGATTCCCTAGCCTAGCGCGACGTCCGGTTCTTCCAGGCAACAATCGTTTTTATATTATGATTAATTTCAGTGGTGCTTTGCCCTGCCTTCTGAAGGACTTCGATGCAATTAGCTAGAAAATAAACAAAATGTATAATCTTTAAAAACATTGAACGTGGTGGACTTCTTTGACATACATTGTTGTCATTAAAAAGAGGAACAGGAAGGCAATTGTGCCACGATTTCCGCCCCGCTTGGACAGAGATCCTCTTCTAACCGGAAGTGTTATGAAACGGCGACGTTATACCTCTTTGTCCCCACAAGCCTCCGGCTCTGGCAAGCAAAGAGATTCGTTTCCCAACCAGTAAGGAAACTCCCCGCGTTGCATGCTGGGAACATGGCGGCGCCCGGTGGGTGAAACGCGGACGGTTGAGCTCGTGGGTCGGCCGAGTGGGGTGGGTGGGTGTCTCCCGTGGGAAATGTTACTCCCCCATTTCCCCCCCTCGCTCTGAGCAGGGCATTTCGGTTCACCAGGGGATGAGAAGGCGGCTCGCTACGCCTGTCCCCTATTTGCTACCCCCCATGCCTCTGAGCATGTGTGGAGTTCGTTCCTCGGGTTTCCTGATCCAGAAAAGCAGGGTTCCTGGGCATGGGCAGATTTCCTGATCCTCAAAGAATGAATGATACTATGAATCAGTTTCGTTTCGTTTAGTTTATCTTTCTTAACAGATAACAGATAATCAGAGTTGGAAAGGACCTTGTAGGTCATCTAGTCCACCCCCCCACCCAAGCTGGAGACCCTACACCATTTCTGCCAGATGGCAGTCCAGTCTCTTCTTGAAAGCCTTCAATGAAAGTCTGAAGTCTCTCTCTTTCTCCCTTTCTTTCCCTCCCTCCTTCCGTGTGTGTGTGTGTGTGTGTGTGTGTGTGTGTGTGTGTGTGTATTTGTCTGATGATCAAATCGACCCAAGTTTTCTTTTCTATTCATTTAATCTAATGGATATAGCTGCCCATTTCATCGGCTTAAGTCGCATCATTCTGGATCATGTAACCACGAGGATGCTGCAGTGGTTGTTTGAAAACGGTCATATGTCACTTTTAAGTGTGAAAAACGGTCATATATCACTTTTTCCAATGCTGTTGTAACTTTAAACAGTCACTAATGAACTGTTGTAAGTCAAGGACTACCTGTAAAAGGCAGCCCCACTATATATGTGCATAAATGTGACTGCCGAGTCATTCTTTTCAGTTCTTGGGTTAAATCTCATCCCAAAAGACCACAAGGCTTTGTTTTGATGTGACAATGGCATTACCGTTGTACGCATCATTTCCTAAACTACAATTTCTTTTCTGTTGCAATAGGTTTTAGTTTATGTATCCAAAAGCAGGATTTGTGTTAAAAAGAACCTTTCTCACAAATAACAAAACAAGACAGCCGGTGATGAAGGTTTTCTGTGGAAGAGCCAATCCGACAACTGGAGCCATGGAGTGGTTAGAGGAAGACGAGAATTATGATTACCACCAGGAAATAGCAAGGTCTGTAGGGATAGATATATATTAAAATATATTGTTATTAGTATATGAAATCAATATAGCATAGTGGCAGCTTTATTTCAGGCCAAGATATAGCATAAAAACTTTTGTCTGAACTTCTTGACAGCTTTTGGAGAGAGAATTGGCAGTATATAATCTTACTGGTCCTCCTTGGTTTCTCAGCAACTTTTGATACCTTCATTCATGGTATTCTTATAGATCAGGGATGTCCAGCCTTGGCAAGTTAAAGACTTGTGGACTTCAACTGCCAGAATTCCCCAGCCAGTGTGACTGGAGAATCTTCAAGTTGTCAAGATTTTTGCACAAATTGCAACCATTCCTGAACAAACAAGTCTTACTCCTGGTCATTGAAGACTTGACTTATCTCTCATCTGGACTTCTGTAATATATGCACTGTTCTTGAAAAGCATTCATAAATTGCACCTCATGCAAATAGGTGTGATATAGACAATGATGGGTACATCTGGATAATAGTGGGTGACCCCCTGTTTGGGAACCGTATGAATCACTAGTTTTCTTATCGGTGCAATTCAGGATGCTTGTTGAGGCCTCAGAGAGCTCTGAACCAGGTTATCTAAGGATATATCCATTCCCACTCTTGATTTTGATCCAATTTTTCTTCCTTTTTGAGCATGAGTCCTATTTCCTGTGTGCTACTATATAGGGTACTGTGTGTAAATGTGATATTTCCCCCTGTCACTGTATAAGTAATGCAATCATTGTGCATTTATATTCAATAATATGCCATAATAGGAATTGTTCATCCTGTCATTTATTTAGCTCTTTTCTGATTATGTTGGCATTCCTTAGCAGCTTTCTGATTCTGTACTATGTTTGACCTGAAAACTGAATTTTATTTACAGGTCCTGCTATGCAGACATGTTGAATGACAAGGACCGAGTAAGTTATTTATCTGTTTTAACCATGTTTTATTAGGGTTGAAATTCCTTATGTAGCTCCATGAACTCCCACTCTGTAGTGCCTTAAACTGTGAGGCAAAAAACAAATTGTCTAAATGACACTGATAATTTCTAAAGAAGAAGTATTGAGTATCTGTTTTTTGCCTTCTTATTTTCAGATGTCTGCGTGCAATTATTGGAAATTTTGAATTTCAGATGTTTGGGTAGTTTTGGTACTGTGGGCCCGGTACAGCCACATCTGGAATTATATAGAACATCTTTCAGAAAGTTTACCTTTTAATCCATTGTTTTGCAAATGCTCACAGATCTCAAAACCATCGTGGTAAGGCACATTTGTCCAGGCCTAAGAAATAGGAATACACTGGTCCTTCTTTTTTTTTAACAGAACACCAAGTATTTTCAAGGTATTCGTGCTGCAGTTAGCAGAGTGAAAGAGAGAGGGGAAAAAGCCATTGTCCTGGACATTGGGACTGGCACTGGACTCCTGTCCATGATGGCGGTGACAGCAGGGGCTGACTTCTGCTATGGCATTGAGGTGAGCATCTTTCTCCCTTGTCTGTGAGTCATGCACACGGATCAATTGAGGAGACAGTTCTTGACTCTGAATGAAAAAAAAAAAGTTCTGTCATTGTTCCATATGAAGCTCAGAAAGGTTCTTTTCTCTGGTTAGTCCATATTCTTGAATGTTTCTTGAAGTATGATTGTTAACAGGGTTTACATCCCTGCTTTATCATTGCTAGTATAGAGCTTGAGAATCCTTTGCCATGTTTCCAGGGATATCTATTGAGCAAAACCCCTGCAAATTCTGAGCGTGTTGAACTCTTAATTCTAATTCAAAGGAAGCCATTAGCTTTCTCTCTCTTTTTTTTCTTTTTTGCCATTTAGTCCTCAGATTTTAGCCTTCCTGTTAGTTGATAATCATAAATACCTGTATAGGAGCATCATCTTCTGAATCTGAACTATTCAGAAGATGGCTCTCCTGTGCAGGCCCTCCTCGATTTATGACAATTTAATGACGTTTTTCTAGTCCCAACGGGAATATGTATGTGTGTATGAATATATGTAAATCATATAGCAGGAAAGGATTAAGCTAAAAGCATCTACGGTTGCTGCCAGCCTTCTAAAAACCCCAGCTGATTCCAACAGATGCTGAAATACCTTTTTTATTGGGAGACTACCCAATCTATAACTGCCTCTAGTGAGCTCTCCAAGGTCCTGAAGATGCTTTATTAATGCTCTCTTTTTTCGGAGCATTCCTTGTGACTCCCAGCATTTAATTTCTTTTCTTGAGGTTCTAGACTGGGGCACTTTGGATGTGAATTGATTTTCAAACTTGAAAGGCAGAATGTTGTGCCATGCATGTATACCAACTTTTGAAGCAAGATGATCGCATTACAGTATGAAAAATGTGATTCATCAGATATGTTATTCTTGCAGACAGTAAAGAGAGAATGTTGGATAGTGTCTGTAGTTCAGGATCTCTTGCATTCAAAATATAAAAGAAATATGTGGGATAGTGAAAGCTGCTTATAGTTTCTAGTTTCTTTGGTATACTGCCATTGCAGTCTTTCTCAACCAGTAAATCCAATTAATATTTTAATATATGGATGCATACTTTTTTTCCTTGGGACCAAGGCCACAACTGAACTGTATGCTAGGGATTATGCTGAAAAATAGTGAGTGGGACCAAGTTAAAAACTCAACTTGTTTTGATTTGGTTTATAATTAAATGTTGTTAAAGTTAAATACAGCAAGTATGATTACTTTCTAGTCATGCAATAATAATTCCTTATTCTTTAAAAATAATAATCTGATGGTTACATTGGATGGCTAAGCCCCAAGTTTTCAAAGATCTCATTCTGCTTTGCTTACTGCTCTTATTTTAGAACAACAATAGCAATAATACCTAGACTTATATACTGCTTCATAGTGTTTTGCAGCCCTTGCTAAGTGGTTTATAAATGTCAGCATATCACCCCGCAACAATCTAGGTCCTCATTTTAACAACCTCAGAAGAATGGAAGGCTGAGTCAATCTTGAACCAGCCAGGATCGAATTCCTGGCAGTGGGCAGAGTCAGCCTGCAGTACTACATTCTAACCATTACGCCACCAATAGCTTTGATGATTTTATTTTCGAGGATTTGGTTTAAGCACATCATCTAATTTGCATCCCTTACTGTTGTCCAGAGGGAAGATATCACATAAGGACCCATTTTTAAGCAGGAGATCAACTACTTAAGGAGATAAACTCCTTAACTCAGGAAATAGAGGGGTTAAAAATAGAAAACACTTCTCTCCTTCCCAGTATTTTCTTCAGCAATTTTTATCCAAAGATTTTACAAAATCCATGCCAGGGATTTTAAGCCAAAGTTTGCACAATGGGATCAGAGAATATCTAAATTAAGTCTTCTTGTTTGTGAACT